GCAAATGAAAGTGCGGTGAAGTAGAGAGTATATGTTGATGCAGACTTTGCGGATGACTTGGACAAGAGGCGGTCTTTGACCGGATATGTGTACACCTTGTTTGGTTGTGCGGTGAGTTGGAAAGCACAATTACAATCGGTAGTTGCACTTTTTACGACACAGGTCAAGTACATTGCCACGACGGAAGGCGTGAAGGAATCTCTTTGGTTGAAGGGGTTGATCGGTCAGCTCGGGATCATGCAAAATTAGGTGGAATTGTTTTGTGATAATCGAAGCGCGATACAGTTGACCAAGAATCAAATGTTCCATGAGAGGACAAAACACATCGATGTAAAGCTACATTTCATTTGAGATGTGATCGCTGAGAGGTCCGTGGTTGTCGAGAAAGTGCACACGGACGAGAATCTGGCGTATATGGCTACGAAGGCGGTGACTGGATCAAGTTTCGGCATTGTTGCGACTTGATCGACGTTGCAAAATTGAGCAACTAGAGGAGTACGTGGAGAGTGGTTTTATGGTGGTTCTTGATGGTGTGGGTTGTTTTTCGTTCCCAGTTCTCCTTAAAGCCAAGATGGAGATTTGTGAACGTTGCTTTAAGTTTGTGGATCTCACTTCTTTATTGTTTTATTTCCTTTGTATTGTGCAAATAAAGCAAAAGTGTTTTTGTTGTTTGATATGCCGAGATGAAAAGTTGGTGAGAGAAAGAAAGAGAGAAAATAACCTAGAACCACCAAGGGAGAAAAATCCTTGAGAGAAAAGAGAAAGTTGTGGGGGCTTGTAATCTCGGATTATTATTGGTTAGTGGAACCACTCTCAAAACAGGAAGTAGTACATTTTGGTCTGAAACTGGGTAAATCTCGTTGTCTCATTCTTTTATTTTTCCATCGATCACATTGTTTGGATTGGAGCCACTTAGGCATTTATATATAGTGTTGTGCTAGTATATTCCGTATTCTGTAGGTATCCGGCCCCAAACCGATCCTACAATTATAAATGTGGTAAAAATGAGAGTAGGAGTGAACACAAATGTCAAGTAGCAATTGGATTGGAAAACTTAAAATCTCTTGCAAGTGTGGACTAAAATTCGATTTCGAGTCCGCTAGTACTTGCAAATATGGTGTGACTGACATAGAATCAGCTTAGACTGGATCCTGATATCGTTCACGAGCTGTGCTTGTGATAAATCTACAGAGGACTGCTGAACTCAACATGACTTCGGCTTGCAAGGGAGAGATGTTCATCATCAATAGAAAATTCATTTCTCGATTTATGGACTCAATGACATATCCTTCTACGGTTGTATGATGGGACTGGAGGTAGTGATACAATAGGCAGCCAGTCTCGTTTCTTCTAATAACTCTTCACTGCGATGTCCAGAGTAGATTACAGATGTCTTGCAGTGAATGTGTGATACTTCATTCTCTTGGGAAGGAGCTAATCTGTGCTCATTCGAGCTTGATAGCGCATTTCATGGTTGTTACAAAGCTTAAGGACGAAGGTTAATGACCATGTCCAAGAGAAGTAGGGATTGTTGAACTTTTTCTAGAGGTGAGGGGAGAACCACGAAAGCCTGGTCGAACCGGATGAATGAGAGCTTGGTCTGTCTGTCTGTCTGTGTGTTCCTCTTCTCCCAACGGCTTTCCCTTCGATACCCTCGCATAAAATTGCGAAAAGATTCTACCTGTCCTTGAGCTAAACGAAAAACAAGCGAAAGGCGACGATGCTCACTAAACCGCAGACTGTGGCTGCAAGCATTTCAGGTCCCTCTGTCCAAGGTTCCACTTTCCGAAGGCAGATCCCTGTACCGAGGATGAGTTTCTATGCGAGGACTAAATTAACTATCAGATTACACTGGAAAATACACAGAGAACACTGGATTTGAGAGAGCACTCTTGAGATTGAAGTTATGGTTCAGTAAAACAAAACACCAACTCATCCGAGTTGTATAGAATGACGCAGGCAGAGGGCGCGTGTCATATGGCTTTCTGGCACGCTTCAATATTTGAATACCATTTTTGTCAGGAGAGTGCCATATTTCTCATGAAACTTCTGATTTCGTCCGGGTGATTCTTCGATACATATCTCTATATAAATATATTTTCAATATATTCCAAAGGGTATCTCATTATGTAAGAAATACAGTGATCAAATGTTTTTTGGAAATCAAGATTTATACTCCAAAGGCTGTAATTGTATACGTTATGGGGTATACGGTATACCTCATGTGCTCTCCCTTATTATGTCTTTTCGTCTTTTGGTTATGACGATACCATCGTTCGGTTTCTACTATTTTGTTTCCCTCTCTGCTTCTTGACTCAAGAGATTTGACATCTTCGATTCGGGGCTACGTCGCCATAGCAGCAAAGCACAGCAACCGACGAGCTGAACCATCAGCTGCAAAGATCAAGATGCATTATTCATCAGTATCTGGCGCCAGAGCTAGGGCCAGAGCCATCATCTTCATCATGATCAGGGTCTAAACAATCACAACCTATTCCGGTATATATCTGGTTGCAGAAGATAACACCCCAATCTTTGCCAGCTTCTCTACGTAGTATCTGATCAAATGACTCCAGAATTAAGCAGGAGTGAAAGTGAATTAGCTGGATACATTGGGCTGGCGTATAAGATCGATATCTGACAGACAATATCTCTGTAGTTGGCTCGAATTAATACCGATCGACGTCTGTACTACACACATACTACTAAGTAAACTGTGTCGAAGTGTGTTGGGCTCAACACCCACAAATTAGAAACATGTGCAAGCAGAGTAACAGGTGTTGGGCCAAATATACTACGATGCTTCGTAGATGGCGTAGACCTGCAGCTGCAGCACCCGACAGGTGCGAATGAGCGCCCAACTGTTCATCAACCCACCCATCAAGTCCTTGAAGAATGGCCTTTTCGCCATCTAAGAACGTCACGCCACTTTCTGTTTGTCAATTTAGCTCCTTGCTATAGTCAATTCTGGGTATGTTTAAAGGCGTCTCTTGACTCTCCTCCCCCGTACAAAATGCTCCTCCTTGCGTCCCCCGTGCTGCATGAGCGTTAGCTGGAAACTGTGTCTGTTCACCATCAACTTAACTGCAGTTGGTGATCTTCTTTTGTAACGATGTTCTCGACTGTAAACTAACCTCCAAATACAACTATCACTATGACACTCCACCTGCGGAGAACAGTCATGACCTCAAAAAGATCAACAGTCTCCTATTGCACCTGAAATAGACGTCGTTCTATTGATATAAAAGAGCAAGAAAAGGCATATGGGTGAATAAGGCCATGTAATGTAAAATCCATGCTTGATGAATGCTGTGAATCCTATCTTGTGCTTTCATAGTGAGTTGAATGTGCTGTACAAACGGTCTCTACTTAGTCGTGTCCATTTCTGGTCAGCTTTCTCTGAAAATTATCTTTCGTGCATTGTTCTCCATTCACCGACAGATTTGATCTGATATGTGCGTAATTATGTAGTTCACGAGCGGACGACCTTGGCATTTTTCTACTACCATGGGTGGACAAAGCGGTAAGGAAGTGAACTTGAAAGAGTTAGTCATATTACCAACCTTCGTAAGATAAACAGTCCAAATGATTTCTGACGTACTCCTTAGCTCTTCAAGTATCACTCGACAAGTAAATGTCCTATCATGCATGATCCTGAATGTGAAATAATTAAAAGGGACTTGATTATATATTTCTCGGAATGACCCTGTCATGGTTTTCCAAGTATCCAACAATTCTTTGTTACTCCAGCATTACACTTATAGATGATTAATCATATTCACAACAGAGTGCAAGAAACCCATCATATCAAATGATATAGTGTATCAACGTACTACTATACTTTATTATGGAATATATTTTGGTAAAGTTATTTTAAAGCATTAGAACTTTTGGTACATCCATTATGTGTGAGGTCATGGTGAACAATATGTTCATAGTATTTGTTTCTACGTGTTACATTACATATGTTTCAATACAATGGTATTGGGGCTAGACTCTAGCTTCTAATGACATACACTTTTGGATCATTCCTATACTATTCATCCACGTTCTATCCACCGTGTGTTACTCCATGAGTGACACAGAAAGAGGTGACTCGCTAACAAGACTGGCGAGAGGAGGACGCGAGTGACGGAACTGGCATCGTGAAGATCGGGTTCCCTTCCTCCCTGCATGACGGTCGGGAAGATAGAGCGAAGAATCTTTTGGAGTGGACTGGTGATGCTCGGGCATGCACACGATCCGATCCAGTATGTCGCCTTAGCTGGTTTCGAAACTCGTCATAGTTCCAAAAATATAATCACGAGTTCGGTAAAGGAAAATTGGGTAGCGATCTTACTGTTGGGTTCTCCCACTGATTCCGAGCGCTGGCTACGACATCTCTGAAAACGGGAAGAGAATGTGCTGGTGCAACTGTTGAGAGAGGAAGAGGAAAACGTGAACCGCAACGTGGAACTTTTCAGAAATTCTGAGCGCAAACATGCTTCACCTTCTCATGATTCCAGCTTACAGGATCCGAACAGGTAGATGGTCGATACGTATATGATTTCCCTGGAAGGATCCAAGGTTCTCAATCATCGTACTGATTCTTGTGCGTCAGAGCACGTCGGGGAGTACGATAGTATACGGGTGTGTCCGATGCTTTGCGTCGAAGTGATAATTGAGAGACAACATGCAAAAGTTTCCGTATTAGCAGGTTGACTCCTGTGCATGAAGAGAAATCCGGTCCAATGACTTCGCCCGTTTCCAAAACGAGAGCGTGGGTCCTGCTCTGGAAAACCCCATGAACTGGAGAGAGAAAGAGCTGTCCACGAGGATTCACGCATGGGAAAAAACAGGGAACAATTGTGTACATGCATCCATAGCCACCGTAAAACAGTTTGCTGCAAAGCAGAAAGATTTTCGAAATTGCCTGTCGTTCCCTTCCAAGCATGATCTTGTTTGATCGAGAACAAGTTTCACGTGTAGTCAAGCACTGGGTGAATGAGATGATCGTAAGCGAGAATTTATTTAACATGTTTATCTATCACAGGGAGCTACAAGTTGGGAATCGTTGTAGAACAGGAAATTCGTTTGATATGAGCGTTGCCACTGGTTAAAGGTCACCAGTCGATGTGAACAATTCATGGAACTCAGCCGGAGTGACAAGAGACTCTCATTCATCCAGACGAGCAAAAAATGAGTTGCCACATTTGATCAGAGACTCAGAAAGTTTCAGGTCTCGGAGGCACGCGAGCTCATGATCAAATCCTCTGAAATTATCGCCAAAAGCGAGCTAATTCTTCTGAGTCTAGTCCGTTCGTCATACGCCGCGGTGCTTCGATTTGTGCGCCTGCGTGCAGACGTAAATTGACTAACCGATTTTGGAAGCTAAATAAAAATTTAATCGATCGATCGATCGATCGATCGAATGAATAATTCTCTACAAGGGGTGCCATCTCCTACCGCTATTTAACACAATGCCCCCACCAACGACCGGTCACATAATTCTACACGGAAATCTACAAGTTCATGCTGCTTGCAGTCGTCGAAGCCAGCTGCTTCGTCCTGCCCACGTTCCAACGGACCTACATTCTCAACAAAATTGTGCCTACACTAGACCTCACCTCCGCCTGCTCCTCCTCATCATCGTCCACTCCGGATCAACGAAGTCCATGCCTTCATTACGGTCCGTCGACAGCTCGAGCCATAAGCATCATCAACTGTAAGCGGACTGGTGGTTGGATCGAAACGAACGGGGAGCGCCGAAGTTGCCTCGCTCGGACTGAGCGTTCTGGGCGAATTTCAAGCTGGCCAGATGGAGGCCATTGGCCTGCTCTTCCTCGCTCCACTCGCCCACGTAGTAATCCTCCTCGGTGGCGTCGGTAGGCGGGGAGAACATGCTGCCCCACTGCGGGAAGCGGAGGAGCATGAGTGGCAGAGTGCAGACGACGGACATGAGGCCCATGAGCATGATGCCGGTCTCGGTGCTGTGCCCATTGTCCATGAAGAAGAGGCCCTGCGTGACGACGGCGCCAAGATTGCCCCCGGCGCCCGTGGCCCCGTTGACGAGCCCGAGCGAGCGGCGCGAGACGAAGGGGACGATGCCGAAGGTGGCGCCGCACGCGGCCTGCACGAAGAAGGAGAAGATGAGCATGGCGCAGATGGTGGTGCCCAGCTGCCCCGTGAGCCCGAGCGCTATGCACAGCAGCCCTCCGATGGTCTGGATGATCCACAGGCACCACAGCCTGCCCCTCATCCCGAACCTGATGGCCACTGCGTCCGAGATGATCCCTCCCAGCGGCCTCGACACGATGTTCATGAGCCCGAACGTCGAAGCTATGATCCCCGCCGACGACAGGTTCAGGTCGAACCTGTCGTAGAAATACTCGGCGATGATGTTGTCCACCGTCAGCTCCACCCCAAAGCAGAAGCCGTACGTCAGCGCCACGATGTACATCCTGTAATTCAGAAGCGCGTGCACCCACACCTGCCATTCCACACAGCGAGCAATTCAGTAATTCCTTCCCTGCCCTGATCATTCATCGACGATAATGAACTCCAATTTCAATGTCATTGCCCTCCAATTCAATTCCAGTTTCGATAATCCATCGACGACATCGACATGCTGCAGAAAATTCAGGTTTCTGCAGCGTGAGAGTCGACGGAGGCGAGGAAGGGAGTCTCACCTGGGCGAGGCTGTCTTCGGCCTTCTCGCCCTCGCGCTTGAGGGCGGCGTAGTTGCCGTCGGGGAGGTCCTGGCCGAGGCTGAGGACGAGGAAGCCCATGGCGAGCTGCATCATGCCGGGGACGAAGAAGGCGAGGCGCCAGGCGGTGTAGTCTTCGGCGCCGAGGCCGCGGTGGATGAAGTGGAAGACGAGAGGCATGAGCAGCTGCGTCATGCCGCCGCCGAGGTTGCCCCAGCCGGCGGCCGTCCCATTGGCCAGGCCGACGATTTTGCTGTTGAACATGGAGCTCATCCAGAACTGGCACGAGACGAACGTCGCCAGGCAGAAGCCGATGAAGAAGCGCACGAGGATGAAGCCCGTCGCGTCCGACACCAGGGGCATGCAGAAGACTGCCGGCGCCGTGACCATCATGAGGATGGCGCAACCATAGCGCGGCCCCAGGAGGTCGCAGATCGTGCCCATCAGCAGGCGCGAGATTATGGACCCCGAGACCGACGCAATGCTGGCGTTGCCGATCTCGCTCTTGGTCAGGTTGAGGCTGTCGCGGATGACGGGCATGAGCGGTGGCGCAGCGAAGGTCGAGATGAAGCAGATCATGAACGAAATCCACGACAAGTGGAACGAGAGCATGTGCGGCGCCGCGAACGAGTACAAGGTGATGGTCCTCGCCTTGTGCTCCGAGTCCACGGGCAGGCTGAACTTGTTGCCGTGGAGATCTGTGGGCTCCGGCACGTACTGCGAGTCCTCCATTATGGACACCGCGTAGATTGGCATGCTCGGCCTGTGCTCGTCTTTGCCACTCGCTCCGCCGCTCGGCATCGTCGCCATGTCTGCGCTCGATATGATGCTTGCGCGCGCCTCCTTCGAATTCTTCCTGCCGCGCTCGAATTCCTCGTGCCCGTCACAAGCCGAGCTTATCTCAGCTCAGCTCAGCTCACCTGAACACTGCAAAATCTGAATTCAACCCAATCGATCTCAAATTGGCCACCGCTCTTGCAATTCTGCGCCGTGTCAGTCCGTAGGCAGCCAGTCAGAAAGGAATTTTTTTACTACTGATCTACTTCGAAGAAAACTGCTCTCGAGTTTCGCAACAGGAGAGTCAAACCTATGGAAGACTACGGGAGGCTTAAGCTTTCATGGTGAGCTCTTTTAAGGGAGGAGCCCCGGAGCGCAAAGGACAGGAGCCATGAGGATGATGATGATGACGCCGGGCGGGGACAGGAAGAAACAGTGTGCTTGAATGTTTGTGATCGCGGGTGCGGTGGGGTCGACAGCAGGAGACTGCGAGACTCGCGAGACAAGCTGCCGATCGGTGCAGGTGGATATGGGGGAGTCTGAGACTGGATCAGCTCGGTGTCTGAGGTATTGTACGTGACAGTCCGTAGCTGGCATCTGAGCACTGGCGATGAGGGTCGTGATTCTCGGGCAGCGATTGAGGTGCGAGGAGAGGGGGGCTCGGGAACTCCATCGCCGGTGGTGGTGGGGCCGATTCGGGTGGAGCCCGGCAAGACGAGGAGGGAAGGGGAGGGAGGAACTCCATCGCCATTGTACATGCGAAGGGCGTTACGTCCCGTGGGCAACATCTGCAATTCGTGATCGTCATTGTGCAATACGCAGCGAGGCGATCGAGTGCGCGAGCACTGTGGAGCTCTAAAGCTTTGTGTCGGAGCGGGACGTCGCGCGGAGTCGCACTGCGTGCGGCGGCGAGACGCTGCCTCTGCAGCTGCTGCAAGAGCTCTTGCCCCATGAATGGCTCCGATTGCTTCCCAATCGATTGGAACATTCTGCGCTGCGCTGCGCATTCAGTCTCGGCCCAAAATTCCCCTCGCGTCGTTTCCCCAGCGCGCGCGCGCTGAAAAGCGCCAAATTCATTTCGACAATTCTCGCAACCTCTCCCGTCGATTCCGCACTGCGTCGTGGACCCTCGCCCACCCCACCCACACCCCCTTGCGCCGCAGAAAACCTTCTCTCTTACCCCATTCAACCTTCTATTTAGCTCCCTTCTCTCCGTCCTGCTCTTTTTTTGAATCCATAGCTTTTCTCCATAGGCGCAGTCATAGAATCTCCATCTCTCGAGCTCTCAGCAGCGAGGAAAGAAAGTGCTGCAACATGGAGACTAAGCGGGAACTGAAATTGCTCTGAACCTTGGCTCTCGAGGGAGGAAGCTCACGAAAGCTTCTCCCCAGTGCGGCGAAACCGACTTGAGTGCTGAAACTGGCTCTCGCGCATAATGGCAAGCAGATTTTGGCAGGACAGATAATCTTCTTCGATCCAGGGAATGTCAATTTCCACTGGCTCGAGCTGAATCTTTAACGGACCAGCTCTAGCAAAGGGCGTACTCTGGAGAATTCAGTCTCCTAGTGTCTCCATGCTTTTTGCATGAGTCCATTCCATCTCCGGTAATTTGATTATCAATCGCAGGGCACAATTCAGACGCGGCAAGTTTTGTAGCTGCAGATCTGGGACCTATTCATCTCTAAGAAGAGAATAGCTGGGATCGATCGTTGGGAAGGAGCAACAGCAGCAGGAATTAGTCTTAGGATCGACGATTGTAGAATGAGGAGCTCGTCGTTCGGAATTCATCTTCCGATTTCGTGTTTGATTTTGCTTACATTCGCGGGCATCGCGCGAGGGGGAGTGCTCTTCTCCACTCTGCCTCGGACGATGAACATCGAGGCTCGCATCGAAAGCCAGGGGACGACCTCTGGGGTCGCGAAGGCCGGCGAGGACACGCTCCTGGTGTCGTGGGGCTTGAACACGGAGCTTTCTCCTTCCGTGGACGACGACTACGTCGACGTGCAGCTGAGGTTGTGTTTCGCTCCGGTGAGCCAGAAGGATCGCAGCTGGAGGAAGACCGACGACGATCTGCACCGAGACAAGACTTGTACGATCGACATCTGCTCGCATCCGTGGTACTCGGCTGCCAGCGACGGGTCGGTCTGGAAGCTGGCCAAGGACATTCCCGGCGCGACTTACTTCGTCCGCGTCTACGCCACTGACAGGGACGGCACAGAGCTCGCCTATGGCCAGACAACCGATGCAAACAAGACCACCAATTTGATTACCGTCGATCCGTATACCGGAAGACATGCATCCATCGACCTCGCTTCCCTGGTCCTCTCCGCGATCTCTCTCGGAGTTCTATTCGTGTTCTTGTTCGTTGAAGCCCTCGACCACAGAAATGTGAAGAAAAAAGGAGGCAAGTGATCGAGGAGCATCGACTGAAGCAGCAGCAGCAGCAGCCGATGGGTCGGGGTTTTTTGGGTGTCTGAGGAGTAAGATCTGCGCAATGTAAGCATCGAGCATCGAGAGATCGAGGACGCTTTGTACAAGTCTGCAGATCACATCTGATCAGCAGATCGACCGACCATTTCTGAACAATCAGCCACCGAGCTGAATTTTGAGTGACAAAAACTTTCAGGAAGAGGTTGAAGCCAGATAGCATTACCATTAGGCACGTTCACCAGTTTTTGCGATGAGATTAACTTTACATCATTGATATGTGGCTGCTGTGTAGCTGGGGGCATAATTGCTTCTCCCCGGTCGTTTAACTGAATATCTAAGCATCAAAATTTGCTGATTGACTTGCAGCAGCTCTGGAACAAGTTCACAGATACAAACCTACAAGTTACTAAACATTCAGAAGGTTCTCGATTTTCTCTAGTTTAGTTCAAGATTCTTACGAATCGATCACTGAGTTGTAAATGTACAATTGCCGTAGAAGCAACATTGAAAATCATCCAATCGGAAGTTTAGCAGCAAATAAGATCATCATGATCATGTTTAGCTGCAGATATCACCCAATCGGAAGACAAAACCTTTTTTCTTTATAAGGTGAAATTTTTATCTTGTAGACATTTTCACTTTATGGACACATTTTGTACTTAGATTCTAGATCCGTGATCAAAAAGGATATCACACTGTCAAGAGTTTTGGGATAAAGATGGCCTCGGTCACTGATATTGTGATCCAAGGTATCGAAAACGTCGAATTTTCGAGTATTGAACTACACAAGCACAACTTGCTGGGTTTGTCCTCTACTTCGACCTACACATTCCGATGTCTTCCATCTCTTTCTTACCTCGCTCATCAAGTTCTCTCTAATCGCCTTGATGACAGCAGATTTGTCATGTCCTTTATTACACGTGACAAGCATTTACAATCCTATTAGCTTTACATCAGGTACGTCATGCACAAGCTACTGCAGACTGCGAATCAAACACAAAATGTGACCAAAATAATCACTCATCAGTCAACATCAGATATCTTGTCAGTTATCAGCAGATGGCCATATCTTCCTGGCAGCTATGAGTCACAGATTAAGGAGTACACGAGATAAACAAACAGATTCAACCGGGATTGGCATAAGCCGGACGCGTAGACGTCCTCTCGGCAAATAGTCGAGCCAGTAGCCTCGGTAGTTTGTGTCATGGAAATGCCCTCGTCGATCGCCGAGCTCGAGATAGCAGCAGTGACAAACACACATATATATAAAGATAATGTATTTATATTTGGAAAACAAAGTGCTACTTCCGATGAGGAAATAAAGTCGAGGTCTGTAGTCAGATACTTTTCGTTCTAGTATCTATAACATCTATTTTGACTGCGCCTCGAACTAATGCATGAAACTTGCTCAAGAAACGAAGTACTGCGGTCGTGCAAACGATTTGTGCAGCACGCAGCTCGTGTGCAGAATTTACGAATGTGCAGCACGTCATACGATTGGCCTTCGTCCGCGTTCACGTCATACGATACGCCCGCGTTCTTCCATTTTCTATTTCTTATTCTCTTTTCTCATGGCACTTTGATTCGCTTGCCAATTATCCGGATGCCGGCAGGGACAAGCGCATTCCGTGTTCAAGTAATGTTCTCCGGCTCACTCAGCGGAACGGCTGCTCGCACATGCCTTCCTTCTGCTCAATGTCCTCGCTTGGATATATCGTGCTGGTCCTTGTACTCGGGAACGATTTGACCCCTCGGGCCACGGCCATGGCTAGAGACGTCGTCCCCGTCTCTGCAGGATCTTGCCCCGAAGCTTGGTACAAGGGGGATCTGGAGCTAGAGGCACTTGTTGGACCTTTTGTGCTCCGAGCTGATTGAAGAGACATGTCGCCGCCAATTTCCAGGACCATCCATGAATCGTGGAGTTTTATTAAAAAGTTTCATTTAATACATTATAAAATCGGAAGAGCAGTGGGTCAGCATGTAATTCTCGTCAAGGGGGCGAGTATCTCCAGGAGAAATGGTCGAGGGCGGACTTTGGATCATATCTTCGCCATGTGCATCGGGATCAATCCGTTCAGGCGGAAGTTGCTCTTACACCGAACCTGGACGCGAATGCCGAGGAGAAGTAGTGCTCGAGCCCGCAAGACCTGTCTGTGCGTCCAGGAGTTGCTTGCCTCTTTTGACCCGCAACAACAGCATGGATGTTAACTAGCTTACTACGAGGGAATTCTATGCATCAGACCCACCAGGATTTATGCAGTGGCTTCCGCCTCTCGATCCCAAGCCATTCGGAGCCACTGTTGTGCACTCGTCAGCATAAACGCTGAACGGGAAAATAGCTCGCGGACATGAAGGATTATTTAAATTAAAACCTAAGACCTTATCTTACTGTAAAGCTCTTACTCTTTCGATATCAGAAGAAGAAAGTAATCAAGGGTGATCAGGATCCAAGTCGACTACTCCATATAATTCAAAAGAACATGTAATTCAACGTGATGTGTGCGCGCGTCAGTATATACATTTTTTATAATATTTCTTCGGCGTGGACTTGTGCCATCTTGAAACTGAAACGTAACTCGATTTACGAGGGAAGCCAAACAACACCTTCAGGAAAGGAGTTGTTTCAGTATTTTGAACTATCATAACCAATATCGTTTTCTGAGCCCCGTGCAATGTTGGAAAGGTTCCAGACATCTAGAAAATTTATGCTGAAATTTATTCTGAGGTCAAGAGGTATTCATTATGAGCATGTACGAAAAATTCTTGCTGACGATGGGGATGGCTGTCCATTGTAGAAGTTGGATATGCCTGGAAACAAGATACATGAATTGTTTTTCTTCTCGGGTCATTAAGGTCGGCTCTGCGCGTTGTGGCACAACTGTCATCTGTCTGGGTGTTGAGAATTATGGCGGCAGTTGTTTCAGTCGAATTTCCCATGTTACAATCCTGAAGCACCATCTTCTCTATTGTTTTCTGCTGCGGGTGCTGGGTTTCGAACAAAGCAGTCATACACAGAGGCACAGCAATTGATTACGAACACTGAAAACAACTGGGTCGACATAAATCCTCATCCGATGTGGTTAGAAGTTACACATGAGTGTAACCACAGTCTCCTGGCAGTTACCCAAGAACTCACAACAACTCTTCTGTCAGCCAGCATAAATCCTCCCTTTGTCCATCATTATGAAAGACAGATCTACTTGCAACTTGCAGTTCGATCCCAGAATTTACAGATGATGCAGATGGGTCCGTAACAATTTGACCGATTCCAGGATTTCGCACGTTGCGTTCCGTTGGCGAAGCTCGAAAGAAGGAATCGGGCCGTAACTTTCTCGGAGGTCACGTCCATGTGAGCGAGAGGAGACTTGCCATCAACTGGAATTGTTTCGGTATATCCCTCGGGACAGCTCGTTTGCGAACTATGGACACTATTCTTCGGAACTGGACGCATCTGAGGACCAAAGCAACTCGAGACGAACTCTCCCCCATCTAAGGAAGAAACATTATACTCAAGCTTTTTGAGAGCACTCTGGGTCTACTTCGCGTGTTTGTACGATGCTGAACAGGTTGGACACAATGCTAGTGGCTCGTGTTCATGGAACCAAGATCTCATGCTCCGCCACCATTTTTGAAATCAACGGACATCACTCGTTGGTTTTGCTTGAATCACTTTTCCTCGAGAGATTCCTGAATAGTGGTTTCAGCTTGCAAAACCATTTTCATTCTAATATGAAGAAGTTAGAAAATTGATACACCAATATAGAATAAGTAGATCTATCTCATACCATTTGAGAACGTGACAGGAGTAATAGTCAGTGTACGTAGATCAAGATAGGATAGAATTACAACTTGTGAGTAAAAGCCTTGATATTTGTACACAACCTTGAGAGACGCAGGAATACCATAAAAAAGTGTGAATGTATACATGTATGTAACATGAATACTATTCAATCATCAGAATAATATATCTACTCATAAGAATCTTTAAAGTTGATTGAAGTTTGAATATGAGTTGAACACATGTCCAGGTTTTATACTCATACATATTCGTTTATGTGAAATTTCATTCTTTCTATCGTCTTAATCTTTGCAAATTGTTAATAAAAAATTTTAAGTCACAATTTGAGAAAAGGCTTTTCAAATAATATAAATTTGAACAGCACAAAATCGTTCTAAATTTGGACTTAAAAAAATTTTTCATCTCCTGGCAGTCGACTTTTACGGCTTTTTATCAAGATATTCAATATCCATACATTATAAGGTTATACTGTCATTCGTACTGAATCTTTTCAACTTGTCATTGTTTGCAAAACAAAGCCAAGCGATGTAAAGTTCTTTCTACCAAGCTTGATTTAATTTGTTACAGTTATTTCAGATCTAAAATAAAAATGAAATACATCATGTTTTTAAATCATGTTCATAATTACAAGAATGGTTATGTTTTTAAATTATCAATTTATATGTTCAGAATATCAAGATTTATTCGAATACAAATTCTGATAAAAATTGAGGAAATTTTTTTCTAAAAATAAAAGATTTTAGAGTTGAAAATAAATATCAAAATCATATTAGTTTAGAATATCGTAGTATTATTCTCATTTCTGATAATTCTATATTGAGAAAAAAATCCGAACTTTGAAATGAAAAAGGAGAGAAATATAGACAGGTTTAACGTAGTTGCATTATTGTTGACAACAACTTTAATTTCATTTGATGATAATTATCATTCAACTAATAATATATGAGATTTTGATTAATGTTGAATATTATCAACATGAAATTTGACAAGTATGAATGGTATTATGGAAAAATGAGAATAATCATGAATGCAGATTTGTTCAAGTTACATCAAAATTGAGAAAAAATTGAAGAAAATCACAGGATATGCTATATATATGTACAATAGAATCAATTATAGGCCTTAAGCCTCAATGCAACAAGACGCATGTGACCTTTATTAAAAGTTTTTACAATTCTAAAACAAAATCACAAGATTCAATAACAATTAATAAAGGAATTGAGTTATTTCTTGGAATGAAGCTTCACGTCTCAACTCATCAGGAAGCAAGTAGACTTTTGACATTAAGATGAGTTCTAAGTATGTAAGTTTCAAAGTTTTTCGAATAGACGGTGGGCATCATCTCCATCCGAATGAGCTTAATGTCGGAGTTCGGCTCGTATATGACAATTCTGTTGATGCTACAGTACATAAACTAAAAGCTTTAGATGATAGGATATTATGTTGTATCGTGTTATCTCCATGACGTGTGCTCATGGAAAATGGGAAACCAAGATTGTTTCACGCAATTTATTGTACTTGTTTCACAAGTTGATAGTGGCGACTAGCTCAATGTTTGCCAAATCAAGTGACTAAAAGTTCATAATAAAATAACTGGAGAATACAAAATTATGTAAACTAAACGATAAATCGCAGCATAATTAAACAGTATTTGGATCTTTTAGCTCTTGAAAATGTTATATAAGGTTTATATATGCAACTAAGACTGAAATCTTGAATCCTACATGCGCAGCCATGGCAGCCAGAACTTGGCAAATTAGGATGCAGGATGATTACTTCTTCCTAGTCCATATCAATAGCTAAGTCTTTCCTATAAATAAAAAAGGGGAAAGTGATTTCAAGTGAGTTTATGCAAAAGTTGTAGATATTGTACCTGCAATTTTAAGAGATTGCGAAATGTGAGTCAACTTGGAATACAAACCCTATTCTTGCAATTTGAATTAACCAAAACTTCATACGTACCGTACCTCTCCATATTTACATGGTGCTGAACTACCCGAGAATTTATTCTGTATCACGGAAGAAGCCACATAAACTCTTATCATTCCCCATTTCATTCGGGATTTGGAAAGAAATATCGCATAAAAATGTATTACCTCGGGACATATTTTTATCAACGTAGCCTTAGCACTATACCATGCGGATATTGTATCAATATATATTCTCAGTCGGTATGCGGATTACTTTTTCTATCTTATTGCTACAAGCTGAATTTTTTTAAGAATGCTGGATCTCGGCAGGGCATGAACGAGAGGGAAGCTCTGCTCAGATGTCGTTCCGACAGGCCTGGCCATTTGAACGGCAAAGGGAGCGTCCCTGTGCTCGTCGTGGCAAGTCGAGGCAGGGAAAATCCGGCCCCGTCCTGTAGAAGAAGCTCGTGTCGCCTCGGAGGGTGGCACCGGCATCTCTCACGTCACGTCCCCGTCTGCCGGCGATTGCTCGCCCGTCACTCTCTCGCGGTCCCATTTCGGCGAAAGGTCGTCGAGGTCTCGCGAGGTCGTACTCCTGCGGCCTCTCGCTGTTCTCATTTGCACTCCGCACGGAATCGCATCGATGCTCGACGTGCTTTCACTGTGGAGAAACCCTGCGCTGCGGTCTGTGCGATGCGGCCAAACATCGACGTCCCGACATTCAATTGTACCCTCTCGACCGGATTGCGCTTGTAGTTTGAGCTCGAATGGTCCAAGATGCGGCTTCTTGACGACGCGTGCCAATGATAACCCCGGTGCTTCAAATCATCTGAAACCTACCGCCCAGGACCAGTGATTGCCTCATTTGGAGCACAATCTGCCGCCTCGTCGTCGCGGTCTGGTCAGCGTTGGCTCTTGAAAGCTTCGAAGTCCCCTGAGTGCCTGTCTACAGCAGGTCTCGCTCATGCGTGCGCATAAATGTTAGGAATGAAAGAGCGAGGAACGTAGGCCTTCCGGTTGCGGATGGAGCTAGGGTGGGAAAGCGCTTTAGGAAGATCACGATCGCTGTGGAGAATATGAATAGAGTTCCAACACTACAGAGAGTGGGCGTAAGCAGGTCGACTCACTCTGCTGGAGGAGGCACAGTTGCCGAGTGACGATGATTTCTGTTTTAATCCCGGAATAAGGTATCTGCTGTCAGTAATGCACACAATCTGCGAAGCGCTTCTTCTTAAAGTTGTCGTAAGAATGTCCGAGATGAGCTTCGGCGAGCAGTAAGCCTATAGAATTTTGGATTTTGTCAGGGTTCAGTTTTAGTTCATGGTGTGTACTTCGAGTATGGAATCTTGCCAATTTGGTTGGTTTACAATACATGATAAATTTTGGACCAAGCTATGGCAGGTTTGGAAACTAAATCAGAACAAAAAATAGAGATTCTTCCTTTTACTATGTTATTATATCAAAAATATGTCTCGACTTGTAGCATAGGCTCTTTGTGAGCAGCGTCCTGTCAGTCTGTCAGCAGAACGAACTTGGCTGCCGTTATTAGCCGAGTGGTAAGGTCTATTTGGCTTATATAATTAAAAAAATCTCGTGCTCACGCATATGTCGAGATCCTCGATGTTGGGGCCATGGGGAATCGTAGTTACGCAACCTGTCGGATGTCGTACATCCCAGAAGCATTGGAACACATCGTATCTGGCGAAGTATCCTTGATCTTTGTTCTCACAGAGTGGGCTGTCCCTGCTTGGTAGGGCAAGTTACCCATCTGCGTAGACTGGTCTGTTAGCACAGGAGGAAGGCGTTGGAGCAAGTGACGGTGACTTCTTCTCGTTTTTCCGCTGACTGCTACCTTTGACATTCCCTACATCTGTTCATGCAATTGATCAGGACTTCGAAACAGCATTCGGACAAGAGAATGCCTTTCTTTTTCGGCATGTTGGACTGGGTTAAGGAAACATTTTGGCAGGAAGTCAGTGCAGATACCCAACACAGTAAAAGGAATGGAACTTTGAAAGTTTCCTGAATCGGCTACGTAGCGTGAGACAATAAATTCAGCTCCACAAGCAGTGTTTCAACAGCTTGAAATACGTCTACTTCTGGCACTTTGCTACGAGCTGAAGAAGAGAGTCGGACGACTCCGAAGTAACTAACGAACTCATGTCCATCAGGGGCAGATGGTGTAGTTACCATCAGATTCTTCTTTAAAAGTATATCAAGAGCTTGGTATTACATGTCCACGGTTCGAGGCTTTTTCCTGTTGGCCTACCACCAACTAAAGCTTCCAGTAACGTTCAGCCTTTCAGTTTGTCACTTTTTGTTATTAGGGGTGAAGAATACGTGAGGAGGAGGAGGAGGTAAGAAGGAACCTGAGATTGTGAATAACTCCTGATTATTGTTTGCCAAACAAAATTCTACAGCATATAACAGAGAGAGGGCTGCTTCAAAACTTTAAGTCTGACAAGAACTGAGTACTGCTCTGTGTTCGTCGCGCCAATTACTAGCTCAAAACTTTTCCATCGATAGACCTGACAACAATCACACTGCCCAGGATCCAACAATTAGAGCTGATTCTCATATGGCATGGCTTATCTAGAGGGTGCGATACGGCTCTTCGTGGGCTTGTGTTTAACATGTCTATCACTACGTTGGGACTTGACTCGTCAGTTTGAGCCTTCATGATTTCTCTCAGCATAAACATGGAGGTGGTGTGGTATGTAAAGAACGGTTGAAAATATTCATGCAAATGAAAGAGCATGAAATCAAGGAGGCCGAAGAAAATACAGAGCTTAAATGAGCTACACTGATGAGCGCAGATTCTGTGCTCGAGTACAATAGTCTTCGAACAAAGCTAAAGTGAGTGAGATAGATGAGGTGTGAGGCGATTGAAGGGCAGTTCTGTGACTTAATCTCGTGATTAAGTCGCATCGCCTCAAGAACCAAAATAAAAACACTTTGTTACTGGTATATACTTGAAAGTGATCTGACTTGTTTACAAATTTGGGACATGAGATTTAGTCGAGTGGAAGATTATTTGTGACTGGAATGATGCTCCATTCGATATGATCTGGGTAGAGCACAAACTGTCGGGATTGTTGAGAGGAGATGGTGGAGGTGGACTACTTGCTCGGTGAGATACCCTGCAAGCAACTTGACAAAACTAGTCCATAAAAGTTTGTCTTCTGCGAAAATTTTAAAAAACCAAAAGTAAATTGTAGGAATTGAAGTTAAGTCGGGTGATTTGTTTTACGAGGCTATAGAAGTTGTCATCGTTGTTTTTTTCTGGGCAAATCTGTCTGAGTGACACTATAAACGCTAAGAACTGTATGTCTCGGCGTTCGATGACAGTGATAAGCAGGCAATGCTTTCAACTCTCGTGCTGAAGTCAACTTTGAGCTCTTGTAGTTTCGTAACTTGCACAAGTGTATGCACTGCGTGAGCCGTATGATCGTGAGCATGCTCGTGAATAAGGTGGGGGTCAAAAGGTGATACAGAGGAATCGTAGTCTTAGCAAAAAAAATCAACTTTTTCACAGCCTTCGTCGGTCAATTCTCCACGAAAAAACAGCTGCCCAAAGCACATGCTGAAACTGGGGTCTTTTTGGTGTTTATTCTGTGAGTTTATGGTTCGACAGATTCCAAACAAAACCAAGCTCCATAGTTTCAACCCTGAGGCTAGGCTGCGTACAGAAACTGTTCCTGTTCTATGGATAGAACCAAATAACAACATTTTCATTCACGCAAGACTATCAATTCGTAGACTCTTCGAGTGGTTTCGGGAAACGGCTCCCAGACAGGAACTCTTTTATTCACAAGGGCAACGAGCTTCGAGCTTCTCTAACATGCTCTGCTTGGCAATAAGTCTTCCTTTGGGAACAAATAAGGAGCAGGAGCAAACAAATATATTATTCCCTCCTAGCTCACACTTCAAACTTCTTATATGATTTGACATTACTTCTATGTACACTCCACGAGAAAAGTACAAGATAGTACGCTCGATGGCTCTGTGCAGAAAAAACTCCTCACAACACTCGTGTCAAGATTCGAAATTGAATTGTGAAAAGCTAGCTAAGGATAAGAAAAGGCATGGACCGATGCCTGAAAAAACCACTTCACTAACTTGCCAACTGCATGAATCCGATGTGACTCCAGGCAGGCTGGCAGGTCACTCAACATCGGGCAATCCCAACGTATGCAGTAGCACCCCTGCAGATCAGTGGAGTGAAAATTCGCCCTGTGCAATCAATTTAGAGAATATGCAATCTTCTGTAATCGGGCATCTGGAGCTATGCAGGCAGCTTTGACTAACTACTTGCTGCTGGACCTCTTGCCTCTAACGTTTTCCAGAGCTAGGAAGAAGAGCAAGGAGCCGATCGAGAACGCAGAGAATATGGCAGCAGCAACGTCGATAGAAGCGTGCCTCCCGGAGATGGGCTCGACGGTAATCTCGTTCGAGGTCTGGCCGTAGGCCACTTGAGTCCCGTTGGCGTTCAGCACGTAAGCACGCACGAAGTAAACAGCTCCGGGGACGTCTTTGGCCACTCTCCAGACCGTGGAGTTACCGCCGGATGTGTACTTCTGCGTGGCGATGGCCTTGGTGCAGGTCTTGTCCTTGTGAAGGTCATCGTTCTTCTTTCTCCAGCCTCGCTCCACTTGGCTCACAGGTGCGTAGCAGAGCTTCAAACTTACCTTCTCGTACTCCGCATCCTCTCGTGCTGCAGCATCTCCCTGCAGAACCCAGCTGATCACCAGATGGTCATCGCCGGCTCTGGCAATACCCATGGGTGCAACTGGACTCTGAATCTCCGCTTCCACCGACAGAGTCTTCTGCAAGGTGGAGAAGAGGACTCCGCCCTCGACCGAGCTCGCCAAAGCGCAGAGCATCAAAGCTCCAGCGAGGAACGACATAATTACCGCAGACGCCATTTCCAGTAGCAGCTCAAACTGCCTCGTTCGGCTCGACGAATTAACAAGGTATGTTCGAATGAGAAGGAAAATGCAGCTCGGGGCTCGATTGGATTGTCACCTCCAGAAGAATCAAGTGACTGTGCAGAGTTTCAGAACTCTCAGATGACGATTGTGCAAGAGGAGTCGAGAATGGAGACAGAGACAGAGAGAGAGTCTGGTAATCTACTCCAGAGTGCAGTCCAGCTCCCCCTTTTAATCCTCCTCGACGTGCAGAGTCTGCAAAGATTTCAGCTGAGAAACGGAGCAAGGGACAAACAGCCGCCAGGGGCGGAGCGTCCTTTCCGCACACTCCTCGATACGGATTGCCCAATTTCGGGGAGTAAAGTGCATAATTAGCAGAAAGGCGGCTTCCACGGACGATGGATGGTCCTGGCAGCCAGCACCGTACGAAGGATTCTCTGTGAGCCAAGCAAAGAAGCTCCAGTGGAAAGCATGAACTGTGAAAGCGCTTACGGGCTGCAAGAGTTAAGACCAGGCGCCGCATTCGACGTGATGCGGACTGAATCCGCAGTCCGACACGATAAAACCGGAGCAGTCGTTCGGCTCCCGCAATTCGTGCGTCATCGCTGATGGATCGGCGATGAAAGAGGAGATATTATGAAACATTCAGTTCCATAGCCAAACACTGCAGCTTGTGACATTACGTTGTCTGATGCTCCGTCAAGTTCCGTCATTTCCCCGTCCAAAGGAATTTGATGCCGAATTAACAGATCCCCGTATATTCATCTCCAGTGTCCGGATCTGGTTAATCTAAACAAAAACCCTGATACTGGCTCCAGATTGCGGGAGATTCCAGACTCGGGCCCTGATACTATGTTTGTAACCATTGTAGACTACAATATTCATATCTGTAAATGTAGTGGAAACGACGTTACATGAAACTCTCATCAATGGTTGAAAATCAACTTTTTTTCAATAATCATAATTCATTTAGATTGTTTTTCAATAATTATTTTTCTCACCCTTTATTTGATCCAAAGCTATTTCAGTAATACTAAATGGCAGATATTTTCATTCGAATTAGGTGAAGCTTTCAGGCCTCCATGAAATACAGAAGTCGAGTGCAAACAACAGAGCACTTTGTTGGACACTGTATATTTTGTCTCTTCAGGTTTGATCATCATAAGCTTTCGGATCCTGTTTTTTAAAACTATTTTTCTCACCCTTTGATTGATCTGAAGCTATTTCAGTAATACTAAATGACAGATATATACATTCAAATTGGGTAAAGCTTTCAGCTGGCATGAAATACAGAAGTTGAGTGCAAACAACGGAGCACTTTGTTGGACGCTATATATTTTGTCTCTTCAGGTTTGATCATCATAAGCTTTCGGATCCTGTTCATTATAATTCTTTAATTCTATTTTAATGTCCTGTTCTGTCAATGTCTGTGATGTTAGATATTCAGTCATAAGGACTAGCTTGGCAGGTGCCGAGTATAAGCCGATACTAGACAGGCCAATGAGGTCGAGCAGTCAAAGAGTTGGAATGAGTGACCAAGTGGGATCCCGGATGCGGCGCCTGGGTTCGAAAAACACTCGCAGGCCTTGACGTTTGGAGGGTGGGGTCCCCGAAAATAGACCAAGATGCGGCGTCTGAGAGATACTCAGTCTTTGTCAACGCTTGGCCCCACGTTGATTCAGCTGCTTTCCAGGATTCTAGTTCGCAATGCTTTTGCTCCCACAGGAGAGCTTAGCTCGCTGACAGGACAGCAGACAACGAGCTAGCTTCTCGCTCTGTGTGTATATAAGCTGCCACTCTGGAATTCAAACTCATCTTGCTCTGAGCCTTCTCGAGCTAGCACATCAGCTCTGCCACCGTCTCCTCTCTCCACCCAAGTGTTTGTCCCCGGACCTCGAGTCAGTGTAGGCTACTGGGTGCCTGTCTGTGTGGACGAACACAGTGGAGCAGAGTTCTTTTTCTCCTCACGAGCGTCGACGTTCTCTACGAGCAAAGTCTCGAGATTGGTGCACCGAATTGTCGAGACTCGACAAGTGGAAGAGGGAGCGAAATTTGTTTGACGTCTGAGTACTTTGTCCACGATGTCTTCGAACGCCGAATGGCAGGAGGGGAACTCGAAGGGTGAGCCTGGCTCGTCCTTGCATGGAGTCACTGGTCGGGAGCCAGTGTTTCAGATGACTATGGCGACCGTGGGCGAGCAGGAAGCCACTGACCTCAAGGGGAGGAAGTTCGCTCTTCCAGTCGATTCCGAGCACAAGGCTAAGACTGTGAGGCTCTATTCCGTGGCTGCTCCTCACATGAGGACTTTCCATCTGTCGTGGATCGCCTTTATGATCTGCTTCTTCTCCACCTTCGCCGCACCGCCTCTCATGCCCGTCATCCGTGACAACCTCGGGCTCACCAAGGGGGACATTGGCAACGCCGGCATCGCCTCAGTCGCTGGAGCTGTGGTGTCTCGTCTTCTCATGGGCACTATCTGCGACCTCGTGGGGCCTCGCTACGGCTGCGCCATTCTGATGATGATCACGGCGCCTGCCATCTTCTGCATGCCTCTGGTGTCCACTCCGGTGGGATTCATCCTGGTGCGATTCTTCATCGGTTTCTGCCTGGCGACGTTCGTGTCGTGTCAGTTCTGGATGAGCTCCATGTTCAACAGCAAAATTGTGGGAATCGCTAACGGCACGGCAGCCGGATGGGGGAACATGGGAGGAGGCATCGTTCAGCTGGTGATGCCCCTGGTGTTCGACATCATCCGCCGAGACATCGGATCCGAGAAGTTCACTGCTTGGAGGATCGCCTTCTTTGTCCCCGGCGTGCTGCAAGTGATGATGGGACTGCTCGTCTTGACCCTGGGCCAAGACTTGCCCGACGGAAACTACGCGGAGCTCAAAAGAGAGGGCGAGAAAGTCAACGACAGCTTCAAGAAGGTGAGCTTGTGCACCTCCAATTTCCCATTTTCTGTCTTGTATAATCCGAATAATCTGAATTAGTATGATGTTTGTGATGAATTCTGGTGAACTCAACTGACCTATTGTCTTCATTTTGGTGCGCTCAGGTGTTTCTGTACGCTGTCACCAACTATCGCACGTACATTTTTGCTCTGACCTACGGCTATTGCTTCGGAGTGGAGCTCACAGTCGACAACATCATCGCCGAGTACTTCTACGATCGCTTCGACCTGAACCTGCAGACTGCTGGAATCATCGCATCCACTTTCGGGCTCATGAACTTGTTCTCTCGCCCTCTGGGAGGAGTCCTCTCCGATGTGGTGGCTGCGAGGTGGGGAATGAGGGGCAGGCTCTGGAATCTGTGGATCATCCAGACGGTGGGAGGAGTTCTGTGCATCGTTCTGGGCCTGACGGGCCAGCTGGGACCTGCCATCGCCGTCATGCTCATCTTCTCGTTCTTCGTCCAGGCAGCTTGCGGTGCCACCTTCGGCATCATTCCCTTCATCTCTAGGAGGTCATTGGGAATCATCTCTGGCGCCACTGGAGCCGGTGGAAACATCGGAGCCGTGACGACTCAGGGAATTTTCTTCATGAGCTCCAAGTACACGACGGAGGACGGGATCATGCTGATGGGAATCATGATCGTGGCCTGCACTCTGCCGGTTATCTTCGTCCACTTTCCGCAGTGGGGAAGCATGTTCCTCCCCGCATCCAAGGCCACCGAGGAAGATTACTATGTCTCGGAGTGGAACAAGGAGGAGCAGTCCAATGGTCTCCATCACGCTAGTATGAAATTCGCCGAGAATGCCAAATCTGAGCGAGGCCGCCAGTCGCCACCAAGATCCAAAGGACAAGCTGTTGGTGTGGATCAGCTTTGAATACATTCGGAAGGCGTGGAAATCTGATGATAAGCTATCGTGAGGTCATAGCAGACACATGTATCACTGACATCTTCAGCAGGAATTTCAGCTCAGAACTCCAGCCTGATCTTATTTGTGGACACTTGACCGTATTCTTAATTCGGAGATGTAGATAGATTGCAGCTTCGGTCGCCTTGAGGAAAGCCAACCTCGAGACAATTCGAGTGCTTTCCACCGAGTGCTCCTCGTAAAATAGCGATAGATTTTGCCCGGCGGTGGAAACAGACTTCATCACTCGAAGGGTATCTGCGAACGAGGTTGTACATTGTGTAGCTTCTGCTCTGTACATGAAATTAAACAATTGGGACTAGAATACCACTAGAATATGGTGTTCTCTCCATCAGTCCTGGACCGTCGACAGACGTAGTAGGGTCGATCATCCCATCCATGACGTGCCTGTGCTTTGTGGGCCGGGACGAATTGTGGGTTGAATGTAGCTGCAAAATTCTGTATGTTCCAAAATTCTTTAAGTCTAAAATCGTGACCGATTTGCTAAATACGGTGAATGGTTGCGCACGCTTTTCCATATCCATCGTCTTCCACATGAGGTGTTCGGTCTCCATAGACATGGGAGGACTCAACTTGCGCAATCTTAGGCCTTTTTTCTGAAGTAAACCCTCGAAATATACTTTTTCCAATCAGTATAATATACCTAGTTTGAAGTTTGAAGTAAGCTAATAAAATTGATATTTTCATATAATCGGACAATGCAGAACATTTTTGTAATGAATACTTGAAGAATCTAATTGATCATTTCCAAGTTCGAAAGCGCCTAAAACTAAGTCTTTTGATATAGAATTGCATATTGTTTCAAAATTTCTCTATTTGAAGTAGAATCTAGTTAAGATTTAAGAAGTATGAAAAGTTAACTTTTTCATTTACATATACTTCTTTATTACTTTTAATGAAATGAACCGGTTTTTTATGTAGAGTTGGTTTACTTTATTTGTTAAAAATTGCAAACCTAATTTTTTTGACTTCAAAATGTGTTATTAATTACCAATTCAAAGTCATCATTTAGACTTTGAATAACTACTCATTACTTTGAATGTACTATACATATGACTTTATATCATCATGTCACATGATGATATCACATATGTTTGTTGTATATTTTGAAAGAGGTAAATTACCAACTATGATATTATTGAAGATATAAAATTTTAAATGGCGAAACGATACGAATTTTTGGCATATTTATATAAACTAATAAAGTTAAATTTTTTTCCGGTTTTTTAGGTGATAAAGTTTGAAGACATAATGATTACCAATATTACTGCAAGTTTCAAATAGAATAATCATTCATTGTTGTGGAGAGGTAGGAAACGATTTCTAGAAGTGTAATGTATACGGAGTTGAATTTTGTTTTATTAATCTAGCTTTGTAATTATACAGAATTCTAGACATTAACTTTGACATGTGGACGATTGGTCCAAAATTACAAAACATCATGAATATGACTCTTTTACGGTCATAAAATAGTTTATTTTAGTAAAAATGGAGTCATATGGAGTAATATATCGATATGTTTGTTATGGATTGTACTGATTAATTTGAGTCATGTGACACTTTTTTGAGTTCTCTCGGTGTAAAAAATTCTTCACAAACCTTTGGCCATGGCCTAGGTTTACATCGTCATCACAGTCATCACAGTCCGGTCCAAATGGGAGATGATTCTATTGCAGTATCTCACCAATAGCACAAGTTAATGTTATATAACAAGTCATATATTTTTAGAGAAATGAAACTAAGTATATTGGATTTCTTAGGAAATGTAAGAGATATAAAAAAGAGGATCTATTATTCTGTTGAAATTTACATCTAAGTTGTTCCATTTCAGATGATTTAGTCCACCCTCATTTTGTGAAGTTTATCCCTCGAGTTCATTAGCAAGATATTTTGAAAGAGACGCGAAACTAGACTGAGATCTTGTAGACAGGTCATCGGTAGGCCAAGGTACACCAAAACAATGACAGAAGTGTTGAAACACAATGACGTTCTAACCCAAATATGTAAGAACTTAAAGACATGGCGAATCAAACTCTACCCAACACTAATCAAGGCGGGCTCGGCTTGTAATTTTGGGATCATAGACTCACATCTACGTCTGTCTGTCTGACACACCCTCAGCATGCTTATCGACCAGCCCAAAAAGCCTTGAATAAAAATACAAGCATTCTTCGACAAAGTGCGGAGACCTCTGCAAGTCATGGATCTATTTGTGATGGAAGGATGTTCTATACAGCGTTCAAAATGCCTTGGGACTCTTACGAGCCTATACGCCACGAGCTCATCGCGTCAAAATCGCAGTACACTTGTGGTCCATAATGAAGGTTGAACTTGCGTCTGAACGACTGCTCTTGCTTCAGTTTCCTTGAAACGTAAGCTGGCTGATGAGCCGACCTCGCATTTGTCCTTGTTGCTACTTCTCAATTTCTCAACGGAGAGAACCTGAAAAAGAACTTGAGAGAAACCCGAGAGAGATTTCTGCGAATTTGATAAATGATTGTGGAGCAGATAAGATTCATGGTAATGAAGTTGGTGGTCTTGACGGATGTACCACACGTCTCAGCTCGAGTGACGTTCGCCTTCAGCAAGAAAGCTCGGACGCGCTACACTGCTTCCTCGACATCTTCCTCCCAGCAGAGAACAGATCCCTTCTCAAGAGTAGTTGCAGCTTCAAGATCGACACCCTTCGTGCACAAGGTCTCCTTCTGGTGAAGATCCCCATTATTCTTCCGCATCCAGTCTCATTTGACCTGCCTGATGGGTGCATGACGATGGGTGCCCGATGAGTGCTCGCACCGCAACTTTCGACGAATGGAGACATTTTTAGCTTATCCTGGTCGATGTAGTAGAGAATAATTGGGCTGAAGCAGCCAAGAGGTCCATGATACATACTGGATGATGATGTGTCTAGAGAGGAGAGGGAGATATTTTGGGGCTGAAAAGTAGCAGTCTTGATGGAATCAGCCTAGTGGCATGTAGTGGTATGCGCACGGGGAGGGACAGGCAGCCACCGAGAACCTGGCTTGTACTGAAGTACGGATGGTCAACACTCCGATATACAAGGGAACATGCCAAGTAGAGCAATCTCGCTTTTCACGGACGACTCATCGGCTTCACTCCTGCCCAGCGGGACCGTACGAAGTGAGGCTATGCATGCCACCGAATCAAACTCCACCATGACAGTGAACTGTAAAAACGTTTGAGGGTTGCAAGAGAGAAGTCCGGGCGCCGCACCTCACGTGACGCGGCTAATGTCGGCAGCCAACTATGTCTTCACCACAGAGTAATTAATGATAAGAGTTTAAGAGATTTCGGCTCTGGCAAATTGTCTTTACATTCCATGCCTTGTTGGAATTTCCAAGAAATCTGGATCATCAATACATATCTCATAGAAGTATCAAAAAGTATGTAAAATTTATAATAATTACTTTTCTGCTAGCTCTGGGGAGAACCACAAGCACTGAGGACCTGCTTCCTTCATTGTGTGCTGTAGACCATTCTTAAGTATCTCCTTATAATAGTCGGTAAGTTCATTGGCTTTTTTGTTTTCTCTTGTGCACACTTCACCAAGTAGATTTCCATGTCCTGCGTTTTAATTCCCACGTTTCCATCGCTTTGTTTCATCTTCATATTTATTTTCACGTCGATCTGAAGACAAAAGATTGTGATCGATGCAAGTCGGGAGCTTTAACATTCGCACAAGAGTGTCACGGTGCCATTTTGCTGTGATCCGATGATATGGTCGGTGCGACCAAGGGTAAGAGGGATCAGAGATAAGGGGCACAATCTGAAAGAGCAGCTCAAGTTCCAGGATCTGGTGATGTGAGGGTGGAAACCAAATATAGACCAAGATGCGGCGCTTTGATTCTCTACGTCAACGCTGGTCCCACTCTGCCCAAGCGAACCCATCCAGCTGAAGATTCAGTGAGCTGAGCTCAAGTCAAACTTGAAACAGGAAGCGAGCTTCTGTCTCAGTGTATATATTCCACTTCTCTCCACTTCAAATTTCATCGCTCCATTCGCCTTCTAGATCCAGCCCTCGGTCACCTTCGTTAGTTGCCTCCTCACCCCGTCAGTTTTTGTCTTCTGATCTCGTACATGTCAAAGACTCTTTCATGTAAAGTCCAACGAGGTTTTGTGAACAATTTTCGAACGAAGAATCTCGTAGTTGCTGCGCTTGGATTCATGATCATCCAGCTGCAGGCTTGGACAGTCTGAATTTGTTCGCGGCTTGGGGGTAATTCTTACTCAGGGTTGGACTTACTGAACGATGGCTGCGAACGCAAACTGGCAGGATGGGAATACCAAGGGCGAGCCTGGCTCGTCCTTACATGGAGTCACTGGTCGAGAGCCCGTGTTCCAGATGACGATGGAGACTGTGGGCGAGAAGGAAGCCACTGACCTCAAGGGGAGGAAGTTCGCTCTTCCGGTCGATTCTGAGCACAAGGCTAAGACCGTGAGGCTATACTCTGTGGCTGCTCCTCACATGAGGACTTTCCATCTGTCGTGGATCGCCTTCATGATCTGCTTCTTCTCCACCTTCGCCGCACCGCCTCTCATGCCCGTCATCCGTGACAACCTCGGACTCACCAAGGTGGACATTGGCAACGCCGGCATCGCCTCGGTGGCTGGAGCTGTGGTGTCTCGGCTTCTCATGGGCACCATCTGCGACCTCGTCGGGCCTCGCTACGGCTGCGCAATCCTCATGATGATCACGGCGCCCGCCATCTTCTGCATGCCTCTGGTGTCCACTCCGGTGGGATTCATCCTGGTGCGATTCTTCATCGGTTTCTGCCTGGCGACGTTCGTGTCGTGTCAGTTCTGGATGAGCTCCATGTTCAACAGCAAAATCGTGGGAATCGCCAACGGAACGGCAGCTGGATGGGGGAACATGGGTGGAGGTATTGTTCAGCTGGTGATGCCCCTGGTGTTCGACATCATCCGCCGAGACATCGGGTCAGAGAAGTTCACAGCCTGGAGGATCGCCTTCTTCGTCCCCGGCGTGCTGCAAGTGATGATGGGATTGCTGGTGTTGACCCTGGGCCAAGATTTGCCCGACGGAAACTATGCTGAGCTGAAGAGAGAGGGCGAGAAAGTGAACGACAGCTTCCAGAAGGTGAGCTCCAATGTTACAGTCATTCCCAAATTCTCAAATGCTTGCAATGTTGACATTGAGTGTTGGCGTTCTTCTGAGCTCGAGTCGAAGAAGTCATTACGAAGGAATCTGATGGGCTCACTCTGATGATAATCTGATGAGAATTGAACATTTTTCTTTGCAGGTATTTCTGTACGCAGTCACCAACTATCGCACGTACATTTTTGCTCTGACCTACGGCTATTGCTTCGGAGTGGAGCTCACAGTCGACAACATCATCGCCGAGTACTTCTACGATCGCTTCGACCTGAACCTGCAAACTGCTGGAATCATCGCATCCACATTCGGGCTCATGAACTTGTTCTCTCGCCCTCTGGGAGGAGTCCTGTCTGACGTTGTGGCTGCGAGGTGGGGAATGAGGGGCCGCCTCTGGAATCTATGGATCATCCAGACGGTGGGAGGAGTTCTGTGCATCGTTCTGGGCCTGACGGGTCAGCTGGGACCTGCCATCGCCGTCATGCTCATCTTCTCGTTCTTCGTCCAGGCAGCTTGCGGTGCCACCTTCGGTGTCATTCCATTCATCTCCAGAAGATCACTCGGAATCATCTCTGGCGCCACTGGAGCAGGTGGAAACATTGGAGCTGTGACGACTCAGGGGATCTTCTTCATGAGCTCCAAGTACACAACTGAGGACGGGATCATGCTGATGGGCATCATGATTGTGGCCTGCACTCTGCCGGTTATCTTCGTCCACTTCCCGCAGTGGGGAAGCATGTTCTGCCCTCCGTCCAAGGCCACGGAGGAAGATTATTACATCTCCGAGTGGAGCAAGGAAGAGCAATCCAACGGTCTCCACCATGCTAGCATGAAATTCGCCGAAAATTCCAAGTCCGAACGAGGTCGTCAATCGCCCCCAAGATCCAAAGAAGAAACCGTTGGTGTGGATAGACTCTGACAGTTGTGGACAGGCATTACCAATGTAATAATTCTCAATTCACCCTGCATCTGTGCGAATGAACTTTTCTCAGCTCCCATTCAACTCTCCTATGAGAAATCGGATGTATTCTTCATCCTTACAGGAATTGTTTCTGTCTCGGGTACTTATAATAGATTTAGTTTCACCCGAGAGATGTTTAGCATGATGGATATATTTCGAATCGGTAACATGAAAGTAGTTTGAGTTACGTACATATGTGTTATCACTTAACTTTTTTGTAGGGGTTGCACCAGATGGTGAAATGCAGCGACTGAAAACCCTAAATGAAATGAAATGTTACGAGGAGTATATAGATTATGTAGGTCATAGGAGGCAGATGAAATTAAACATGTGTTAATACTATTCCTGTTAGTTGTTTTTGCATAGAACGTACATTAGCAGTGATATACATGTCGACTAGAGGCCTGGAATATGTTAGCCTAATAAGGTGAGCAAATGCTTTTGCCATGGCTGACAGGAATTTAGATCTGAATAGAGCTGTGATGATATAGAAGGCCGGATCTACTCAGTTATAAAAAGAGTCCATACAAGTTTCATGAAATTTTTGGTTTCCTTGAGAGGGTGAAAGGCAACTCAGATGTCATGATATGATGTCATGCATGTACTCTGACCTAATTATCCAGCCCTAACCCTTTTGAAGGCAATAAACAGCGTATATTCTCCATTAATCTGTTATAATACAGTGATTACCTACATATGGATAATAGGTGCGTCGCTGCTTCTGTAGAGAAATAATCAAGAGTATCTCTGGAAAGGGTTTTTTTAAACATCTGATCCATTAATATTTTCCTTTCTTCCACCAAATCAAGATGCTGTATAATGCACTTCTTCTGTACTTTTCTGCTCCTCTCGTGTGACATGAAGGTTATATGATTGCAGGAACTTTTGGGACGAATCTCAGTTTCATTCTATGTTGGAATCTAAGATGCTGTCGTTTGTGCACATCAGATTCAGCAATGATACCAAATTAAAATTCACGGTGAACTTTTACTCATAAATCAGATGTTGATTTTTAACACCCACATCCAGTGGCAAGTGAATACCTGATTGTCTTGGATTTAATTTACACTTCATGACTGCAAAAAAACAGTCATGATAAAAAAAGCTGATACAGATTTTGGCAATCATAAAACTAAAAATTTGTCAATTCTACATATACATCTACCGATTGTAGATGCAAAAAATTGCTATAGTAGTGGGACGGAACCTTTATCCCACATGGATAAGAGAGATGACCTTGCTTATATATGTGTCCTCCAATGAAGAACAAACATATCCAACATAGGCAGGCCTCTGCTAACCTGGCATTTGCCAAATCTGTCATAAAGTATCCTAATATGGCATCATCAAAATTTTATTTATGACAAATATGAGCAAGGTATCAAATTGCTTGAATTTCTTTAAACTGTTTACAATGCATGATGCCTTCGAGTGACAGATCCATCAAGGACGATCTGTACTCGTCTTTCTCCCAACTAATCACAGAAAAATCACTCTCTACACTCGTTGTACCAGGATACACACTAGCAAATCCTCCAGCAAACGTGCACAGTTTGGAAAACCTACGTTCAAGAGCACTCCATGCTTCATGAAAATCTACAGATTCTGGCATTTGATTGATAGTGTCACGAACTATATATTCTCTTTGATAAGCAGTCTTCAGTTCTTTGAACTCTCGTTCCAAGCTGTCAATGTACTCGTTGGTGAATGTCTTCTCAAGTCGAGATCGAAATCTAATTATCAGGTCCACGAAGCTTGATGCAGGCATGTTCACAAACTCACGAGGAAGACATGGAGGTAAAGTTGCTGCTGGTGCATTGTTACTATCCCTTTCTGGCTCGATTGCATGTATTCCTGCTACAAGACTAACTATAAGATTTCCAACTCAACAAATCACAATATCCTTCTCAACTTGACACAAGCTATCAAATGACATAGCAACGAATGAACCACACCCTCGAACAAAGTGCACGACAGCATTCTTGGCAATCCTGTAAAAACTGTTACAGCACCAGAAATCTTCATCTTGTTCCTGAAATAACAATTCTGAAAGTGGACCTTCCATTCTTGTCACATCCTGAAGACAACAAATGAATCTAGAAAAAGCAAGTTCTTGTTGTGTGACCAACAAAGTAGAATACTGCAAAGTTTTAAATAGAAAATCAATCTCTGTAACTATAGGGATCAATGAATATAAAGCAATACACCACATGACAGTTGGTTTCAAATCAAAATTTTTATGATCTACGTATTCAGCAATACGGCAACGATGAGTTGAAAACCAAGGTAATACTTTCCCCAACGATAACCAGCGAGTAGTTGCAACCTTTGGACACTTGGATCTCATTTCACTGATCAAATTCTGCTGTCGACGAAGATATCATATGGTGGCAGTTAACGTTGAGTAAAATTCTTTGTTGTGATAATCTGAAACAACAGTTTGAACAACAAGATCAAGTTGGTGTGCACCACACCAGAATCGAATCAAGTGACAACCTTCCTGTTCAACTCGAGTGGAGACACGAGTAACTATTCCACGTACTCGACCTGTCATGTTTCTGGCACCATCAGAGCATGTCGATAAGAGTGTATATACCCAAGATGGACAAATTGCATCCATAGCTTTCTCAAATGTCTCAAACAAGTTGTCACCTGTATGTCGTCCATAAAGAGGAAGACAACATAAATGAAAACAATGTAGCCGACTTCCTACAACAAACCTCACTCTAACATCAAAATACGAGGTGGTCTCGACAGTAGATGAATCAAATGCAACAGAAAAGGTCCAACAATTAGCAAGTAATTTGCTCAGTTTTTGAAGGCAAACAGCAGCAGCAACTCGAACAAACGATGATACTTTTCCCTCGTTGCATGCACCAAGATAACCGAGAGTTAATTCTTCACGTGCACACTCCACTTGACGTGCTGTTAATCTGAACGACGAGCCAAGACCAACCATCCCTATAACAAGCTTGAAAAGCTTGATGTTTTTTATATGAACTTGATACCCTACAAGCACACTGTCAGATTTGATTGGCTCAAAAAATCTCAACGCTCGATCAATACAAACTTCCTCAGCTTCGGGATCAAACAGAAGTATACGCAGAATTACATCGACGATGTTAGCGTTTATATGAAAATATAGTTGATCTCCTGATCCAACAAAATGAGCATGCATAGTATTCGTTAAAACAGTAGCATCAAAAAAACTTCGCTTTGCGTCTATTGACAGAGAACGATATTCATTCCACTTCGTCAGGTGTTGGCTTTCGAGATGCTGTGAATACAATTCTGGTCGATATGGAACTTTAAAATACTTTGTGGTTTTAGCCGGCTTGCGCTTCTGTCCGATCTTCTGTTCATGTCCCCATACTTGACAAAAACGACACAAAACTGATGTGACGACACCAGACAACGGATCACGCGTCAAAATCTTCAATCCGTACTCAAGTTCGTGATAGGAATTGAATGGAGTTTCGCGCTTCTTTGAGTTCTTTGAGTTCAGCAACTACAAAAACTCTTCAACAGCAAAAAACGAACAGCAGATCTCTTCTCCAACAGTGGTTCACGAGACTCATATTGTCTCTGTGGCCTTGAAAGAAAGAACAGAATTCTTCACATTCTTTTCGACGCTCAAGAGTTGTTGTTGTTCATTCAACAGCAACGGGCAGATTGCTGTCATTACTTCACATCACTCAATACTTACTGTGTTTTTAACACTAACAGACAAGAGGAATCTGTAGACTTGAAAAAACGTCGACAAAAACTGTTATTTTTATTTATGGCATGCCGCTAATTTTATTTATGACAAAACTGGCATCAGCGCTGCCAATGCCAGTTTTGAAGAGGCCTGAACATAGGTGATTTAGATTGTTCAACTATGCACATGTCCACATTAGAGCCACATAAAGTACAATAATTCTTTCTTCCAAGCCGTTTTCTGCATATATAACTTTGCTACCTTGATAAATGTTTTCAAGAATCTTGCATTTGAGAACATACAATTATATCCATGAGTCATACATCCATCAATCCAATTATCTAAATACTATACATGTATATGATACAATCATGTTATAGGTAAAATAAAAACCCAAAGATAGAAGCACAAGTATACGAGAACACAACAAATAACGTGATTCATACTTCAAAGTGTTACGTACACAACGTTTGGAACACGTGAGAGAGTTTACTAACAATTGAAAGCAACAATCATATAAAGCAAAAGTCTAGGGATATATACAGGCATGGATATTATAGTCACCCGCCTAAATTACCTAAATACGTATAATTTAGTCTACTAAGAAAAATATATTAGTCTACTCAAAAACATTAATTTTGACGAATTTAGTCTCCTTGAAAAGTTAGTTTAGGCAAATTTAGTCTATTGAAAAGGTAATTTAGACCAATTTAACTTCTAAAAATTTAATTCAGGTTAAATTTTTTTACTTAAATTTTTTTCAAAAATATATATTTAATTTTAGTTTTTAAAAAATATTTACATTAATTAAAAAATAATAAATTGGAAAGTCCATCAATTCTGCATAGATGTACACTCTCCATTGGTTAAAACATGTAGACTCCAAATCACAGCTACTTTAATTTAGTCGCCTAATGACCATAATGGTTAGGTGATTTAGGCGACCGTATATACGGTCGCCTAATATTACCATGCCTGGACATATATATATCCAATCTAGTTATAAATAGCTAGAAATTGATGTAGTTTTTTTAATTGGATTTAATTTCAACAATCTACTTCTTAATTCGTGTTAAAGAAATTGTAAACTCTCAAAACTATATTATAAGTCCGCCGAGATATGTCTGGATAGAATTTCTGGATAGAAAATTCTCTTTACACAAGAATTAACTAGAATTAAACTGAAATCATAACATGACAGAGTAATAACATAAAGACTTAACTAAAAACTTGCTAGGATAGATGTATCAAAATTTTGTAACTTATATAATTACTCCGTAAAATGTTCTAGAAATAAATCTAATACAAAACTACTCTTTACAGGAGAACTAGCTAGAAATAAGCCGTAGCAATCACATGATAGAGCAAATATATAAAGAGATATCTGAAGCTACTATGTTAGTAAACTCTTTTTGTGCTCCCCATGCACAACTTGATATTAGCATGGCAGCATAGTGTCATCAGAAAATCTCCAAAGATATAAATTTGGTCAATGAATCAGCTCTATTGAGTTTGCTGTTGATCTTGACTAGCTCAATTGTTTTATTAGACACTGATTTTTTAATAAAGTGATATATGATATCAAAGTCCTTCACTCTGCTAACTATGATATGATATGCATCCAATGTAAGCACTCTGGTTGTCACAATGAAGATTGATTATGCCATGTGTCAATCACATCTCCATAATAAATATATCCAATGAAACAATTTCTTTTGCAGCTTCTTTTGTTGCCACAAATTCAACTTATGGTGTCAATTAAACTATGCAATTCTACAAGATAGAACTCCAACCAATGCTTTCATCGCCAAGTGGAA